CAAAATAAAACAATGACATATCATTTAGAATTACGTATTTATTAATAATTTATAAACTTTATATGGCATGTTTTTAATTGGGACTACACGTTGATCTCGCCCACCTGCCTTCTATCTCAAAAATGGTTTGAGATATAAAATTTTCAATTCAGTTCAATCCCTCACAATATTTACAATGAATACAAATAGCATGAAACCCATATTGAACCAAATATTTGCAATAAATGTGTAAAAAATCGATTGTTTGACCTTAGCGACCTGTGGTCACGGATACCTTATGGAAAGTAATTCCTGGAAAAACTTACGTATTTTGCGTATGCATCGCTTTGTATTCCTTTATCAAAAAAAAAATACATAAAGAATCCAGCATCTCAACTGTTAGTAGAAATATAAATTCAAGATTTCCATCCAGAGATAAATATTCATCACCATTGAAATAAAATAGAAATAAATATATAATCAATGAATAATGGTGATATTACTTCGGCTTTACGAATTTCAGGATTGTTTATCTACCTTGGCAATATGATCTCATGAATTAAAATTTTGCCGCATGAGTCGCCACCTATGAAGTATGAATCAAAACCACTGGATGTTCTCTTTCTATGCGTAGTTAAACAGTTTTCTACCTCCTTTTCACGACATTCACCTAAGATAGCCGCACCTGCGTGTACAGACATAGAGACTGCACTATCTACTCCTTTAACATATAACTATATTTTTTTCAACCATACATATTTAACCACGATTTAAAAAATACATTTTTACAGGAATACTGGAGTAAATTTTCAAATTCAGTATATAAAGACATTCAATTCCATACGCACTAGATCAGAATATCAGTGAATTCGTTATTTGTCTTTTTTTGCTTTCGACGCGATTGAAAAGATTAATCTAACTTTGTACACATATTGATAGATGGCACAAGAAACTAATACTGTAACATTGGTTGCGTCTTAATAAAAATGAGGAAAGCGCCGCGTTCAATGCAGAATAACGACGCTTCTTGAATGTCTTAGATTTTATCTTGAGCCAGTGGACGGAATTAGTACTTAACCACAGATGTCAAATTCAGTAGTGAGACGGTTTCAAGCGATGGAAGCTGGAGGAAACAAGTAAGTTTTTTACCATTAGTCACATCATGTGCAATGTCAAATTGTTCTATTGAATGCGGATCTATTTTCTCGATTTGCATTTCACTCACATATCTATGGATGTCATTGCATTTATTCATCAGTTTCCAATCAACTCCAATAATCACAAATGATCTTTCAGATCTTCAATTAACGAACCATTTCAAAATTCAAACGTTGGAATGTAAATTTGACATTGTCAAAAAGTAACTATCTACATGGGCTGAAAAGTCCTGGGCCTAACACATAGATGACGTTAGTCTTAACCCTCCATTAGTGTTCAGAACCACAAATCACAGCTCCTCAGCAAAAACTAACCAAACTACAGACCTCTAGTGCTCAGTAGCTGTAGTTGAAACATATTCTTCCAGGGATGACACATTTCCAGCTCTCCCCGAATTCTCAGTTATACGTGAGACTTCTTCAAGTGCAGTTCGGGTACGTTATACCCCGGAACACTTTTGGTGTAACTATTTGTGTCATCGGGCTTTGAGGTAAATTCCATAGTTGTGTGCACAGTATAATTGGTAATTTTCGTAAATAGTTTTTCAGAAGTATCAATTATTGTAAAATGTCTTACGAAGAGGAACAAAAACGACTCAAACATTTATGGGAAGAGTTTGGCGCCAGTTCTGATGATGATGATGATTTATTCATTGGCAGTAATTCTGAAGGTGAGGATGGAATTCAAGAAGAAGTCGGAATCGCTGGAAGAGATGAAGAACACCCAATAGAAGAAACAGAATATGCTGAAGAAGGAACAGTACATGCAGAAGAAGAATTGGANACCGAAGCGACGGCGGACAAGCAGCAGATGTTCTGTCTGTCCAAGAAACAAGGACAGAAAGACATTCTATGTATGTATACGATGTGAGAGTCCAATTTGTATGGAGCATGCAATGATGACATGCGAAAATTGTGTCAATATCGAGGGCCCATAACTCTTTTATTTGTCAAGTAATTACTTCCAGTTTTGTGTTGTGCTGTTTGTGAAACATTTTTCTAGAAATTTTTTTTTGGATCTATATGCAATGTCACAATTGGAATTTTTTATGTTGAATATAGTTCGACTGTGTTTTTTGAGGTTAAAATAAATATATATTTTGTGAATGGTGGTTTATATATTTCAGAAAGCAATATTCAACTGACTTTTTGCTTCAACACACTTTCAAATACGGATAGAAACATGCCCAGTTTTCAAAATGATCAAATTCTGATATTTTAGTAATTCAGGGTCGACATTCCTTTGGTGTACGACATACCCCAGTACACTTACTGTGTTATATTGTTTGGGCACACTAACGGAGGGTTAATGCATTCACCACTTTTTCAGTTATTACTAACCTTCGAAAGAAAACTGTTGATATTTCATGATATTCTACTCATAAGTTTGTGAGTTATTGTGCTAAGAGTGACACCACTTTTGTTATTTTCAAAACAATGGATCAAAAATCATTTCGTGTTTTGATTTTATAATGCTTCTTGATGGGAAAAATACCGTTCAAGCGAAGCAACGTCTTGATTTTTATTTACAATATTTTAATATTAACATACGTCACAAAAAGGATTTGAAGCTTTATAACTTCTATATATTATATGAGAGCGCTTTCGATAGCTAGTTGTGATATCATCTTCAAGGTTCTACTCAAACTGAACGTTTCATCCTCTTGTTTGTTGTTTTATGGGGTCAGAACGCCTTAGTGCAGGTACTGTAGGTAAATTTGCCTGTATTTGGGTTCCATCAGGTGTTGTTGGATTGTGTTAGATTTTCTCTAGGTTCACTGTTTCACGAATGTGTATTGGTTTGTGTAGTATATTGAATGTTAGGTCTTGTTGTGTTTTGATTTGTATTTGTTCCTCAATAAGTGAATTATGACTGTTAAATTTATGGATGTTTAGGTTTTCCCAGATGTCCATATTATTTATATATTATTTGTTTGTTTTCTATGTTTGTTTTGTATGTGCTGCCTAGACGCTGTCAAAAAGTAATTTTCGGCATTGTGGATTCTATTGTGGGAATAGTGAGCGGTGCCTTTCCCAGAAAATCGATTGCGTAGTGGGACGAACATTGTTCAGCTGGTAGATTTGCTTTTTCTATGGCCGTTGTTGCAATTGAACCCTCTGCCTGTGTTAGTGGTGGAATTGTGGATTTTGAAAAGTTCTGATTAACAGTTTTAGCTACCGACTAGAAGGATCTAGACCCGTTGGGATTGGCAAGCAGTTTATTCCTATTTCTCTGATTGTGAAGTTCTTTGCTTTCATTTATCCTAAGTTTGCAGCTATTATGAGCATTAACAAACCTAGTTCGGTTTTTGGCACTGAAATATTTGCGCCACTGCCGGTAGGCGAGATTTCTGGGGGTGACAGCTTGCTCGCAACTTTTGCTGAACCAAGGTTTGCCGTAAGGAAATCGTTTCATTGAAAAAGGAAAATATGCATTCATGGATTATAGAATAACTTCCATGACTTCAGAAACACAAGTTGATGGATCTTTATATCTGAAACAAACATCTAGCCAGGGAAAATTTCGAGATATAGAAAATTAACGGGGTTTGTTGAAACACCGGTGATCCGATTGGGGTTTTCTAACCCTAGGAGCGCCATCATGCATTTTTTTCTCATAATCCCACCTTTGAAACCGAAAACAGCGGCACAGCAACGAAACGTCAGCAACGTTACGCTGCCTAAGCCGTTGCGATGGTGTCCCTCCGGTCGATCCCGGGTGGGACCAGCATCTACCATCTTGATATCAATGGGTAGATTATTATATTGAATCAATACTTTGTGAAATAAAGTTAGTGCAACATTTTGTTTGCCACATTTTTTTTTCTACAGTCAGGCGAATAACCGTCGGGTAGAAATTTCAAAATGTAGGTGAACAACCTTTGTCTTTAATGGCCAAATTGTCTGGGTTCAGAATCCTCCACCCTTCTGTCCCTCTTCAGTAAGCTTATTGCAGAGCTTGCTGATCCCTATCCCAAAACATCCTATCGAACTCTTCGTTCTCTCTTACGTTTCGTTTTCGGGTTTCAATTTGCTCGTGCACGCTCTCCGCGTAATACGTGTTCAGCTGACTGGCCAGAGAGTGGGAGGTTTGCACGGCAGCCTTTAGACCCTCGGGGTAAGACAGGTCGGGTTCTCCAAAGTGGCTCTCTAGCTGAGACACCAAGTTATCGCCTATATTGAACGTCATGATTTTGTCCCTTTCATTTACATTAGATTTTTCGGAGGGATTCGGAGGTGAGGAGTAGAAACACCGCGTGAGGTGTTTCAAACTTGAAGTTCTTCACCTGCCAAAGATTCTGCGAGGAATGTTTGCGATCTATAACTATTCTGTTCTCAATGAGCTTCTTCAGGCGGTAATTTTTCGTCGACTTCCACTTATTCCGCTTGCTTTCTCTCTTCTTCGGCTCATCTCTGGTCTGGTAATTGTGAACTTGAATTTAGAATGATTCATATTGCTCTATTTTGCAATTTTTGTAATGCTTTGAAACTCTTACCAAGAAAGGGTATAGCAGCTAAGTATAACAAACATCATAAATGCTATACTCAGACCGCAGCACTTACCATACCCGTTTAAGGAGGCGACAGTTATCCATATCGAAGAAAATATTAGCACACGAACAGTTCGGTTTCAGATCAGAACACTCGACAGAGTTGCAAATCCTGAGGATAGTAGACTTTGTGACGGAAGGCTTCAACTTCTGTAAATCGAGTATTTTCTAGCTGACAGGCGATGTCGCTGCAGAGTAGGAAAAGAACTCTCAACCATGCGACTACTAGAAGCTGTGGTCCTACAAGGTGCAGTCCTTTAGCCACACCTCTTCTCGGTATACAAAGCAGACGTGCCCAAGAGGAGAACAACTTTAACAAGTTGGTGCTCTACGCGGACGGCATAGCTCTGCTAGCGATATCAACAAGCCAAGCGCACATCACCAGATACTTGCAGCAACAGGCAGATATATTAGAGGAATGGGCCAACCTGTAGAAGATCGGTATAAACCCTGACAAGAGTCAAGCAATACTGTTCACCCGGAGGATGGTACACCCGGAAGGAAACGTTATCTTCAACGGACAAAAGATTCCGTGGACCAACGAGCTAGACACTAGAGGGTTAACATAGACAAAAGATTAACGTTCAGGTCTCACGTACGGCAGAGAATAGGAATGGCGAGATCTGCCCGACAAAACCTATTACCAATAATAGGTCGAAGAAGCAACATGGGACTGAAAGTGAAGCTGCTGATAATGAAGACCTCAATAATACTGATAATCCTGTATGCCTGCACTGCCTGAGGCTAGTGCGCAGTGACATACAGAAGACAGATCCAGTCGTTTATGAACCCGTGCGTAAGGGCCGACGTAAACGCTACAAGATATGCACCGAATAGGTACATATTCCGGGATATAGACCTGAACATACACTACGTAGACGCACCCATGAGAAAACACACAGAGGACACGTTTGACATAATTAGAGCGCACGAAAATCCAGCGCTAAACGATCTGCATAACGCACTGAACAGGGATGACCCCAAATTCCGAGAGAGGGACAAACACAGGAGGCCAACGAAGCAGAACCAAAGAACACCCCCGAGAGTTGCTGTCAGGCGGCTCCGGTAAGTATAATTTTCTAACAGATAACTATCGGCAGAGAATAGGAATGGCGAGATCTGCCCGACAAAACCTATTACCAATAATAGGTCGAAGAAGCAACATGGGACTGAAAGTGAAGCTGCTGATGATGAAGACCTCAATAATACTGATAATCCTGTATGCCTGCACTGCCTGAGGCCAGTGCGCAGTGACATACATAAGACAGATCCAGTCGTTTATGAACCCGTGCGTAAGGGCCGACGTAAACGCTCCAAGATATGCACCGAATAGGTACATATTCCGGAATATAGACCTGAACATACACTACGTAGACGCACCCATGAGAAAACACACAGAGGACACGTTTGACATAATTAGAGCGCACGAAAATCCAGCGCTGAGCGATCTGAATAACGCACTGAACAGGGATGACCCCAAATTCCAAGAGAGGGACAAACACAGGAGGCCAACGAAGCAGAACCAAAGAACACCCCCGAGAGTCGCTGTCAGGCGGCTCCGGTAAGTATAATTTTCTAACAGATAACTAACATTTCCTTTTCAGGTCCAACGAGAAGCATTCGATCGCGATCTCTTTTAAAACAATAGTCTCCTATGGGAGACTATGAAAAAATTCAGTTAGGAAAGTCAAGATAAAACAATGCAACAGATCAGAAAGTAAAAGCACCTAGAGGCTGATTTTCGACCAAAAAAGGTCAGATGTCAATCTGGCTGAAGTGCCCATCAGTAAGTTGAGGACAGCTCTGGAGGAGCGGGGTTGGATGGACTAGATGGGATGTTCTGCACACATTAATCGTGTGGAGAAGACTTCAACTCAGGGCACTCTACCCGGAATGGGGCAGGGGGGAAGGTGGTAATTTTTCCGTCAATTCGCGGCGGGTACCGAATGAAGAACTTACAGCTAACACGGACGCTGCAATTAGAACTCCAACGGATGATGAAGCGGAGGAAATTCGGATTGAGACAGCAAATATTCTACGCAAAGCCCGAACACCAAAATGCAATATTTCTAAAAGAGAAATTGTGGCTTTGAAAAACCTGATCACAGATGAGGAGATCACCATTCTATCAGTTGACAAGGGAAATGTCACGGTGCTTTTGAAAACAGAAGAATACATCGAAAAAAATTGAAAAACTTTTCGACCCAT